CCCTCTGAAATCAAACGAGTATAAGAAAATTCAGAATTTGCTCTCTTATTTTTACAAATAAAAAATATGTTTGTCAAATGTGAGAAAGCTAAAATACAACACAGGTACACAACGTTTGGACTCCTCGCGGTAGTTCGTATTAAAAATTTGGATCATGCCTCCCTCTAGAAAAAAAGCCTGCGGATGCCCTTGGATGATGGCCTTTATCGCTATACAATGTTGAAAAAGTTTGACAGCTCGAGATTGGACGAGTTACCGTCGGTGATTTTCATTCGACTTAAGAGTCTATGAGTTCTCCCGTTAAACCTATCGACACGTAAAAAACGTATTATGTAAAAAAAATTTTTTTAACGGCAACTTAAAGAAGCACATTGTATCACACGCGTCGAGTGCGTTGTCAAGTACTACAAAGTAAGTGATAACTCAAGGCGGATGTAATTCGCGAAATTGAGGTGTTATACGGGGAACTTGGTGGTCTAAGAGGGAGAGACCTCTTCTCGAGCGGGCGTCGCGACGTCGCGACGCGGTCGAAGGGATGACAATCCTAAATGCATAGAATATTTTAACGCGAGGTGCCCCGAGCTTAGCGAAAAATATTTCGGTCGATTGTTTTATTCGTCGGACGATGTCATTTATGTCTTTCCAACGTTACGCCCCTCGGCAGGTAGACTTGAAAGATAAAAGTTTAAAACGAGAACCCGAAAATCGTGGCACGAAGTTTTGTTATTCACTTCAGCCTCTAAAATTGAATTAACGAAGTATCCCGGCAATTAAGCCCAGTGGAAAAAAAATTCCATTAAGGAAAAATCTACTTGAGAGCCCTCGGAGACATTGTCCATAAAATATTACGCCGTAACTCCGAGACGCCGTATACACCATAGAGAAAAAAAAGGCATCAGCGTGCAAATTTCTCGATAAATTCGAAACAAGAAAACGCGGACATTCGTCCCGAAAATTCTTAACAAAACTATGTCACGCATACGCCGGGAGATTAACGACCGTGATAATATAATTTTATTTCTACCGTAAACAAAATTACGTCTATTAAGAATGTTGTACAACGTTCCGTCATTCGCGGTCGCACATTTTATACATGTCGTATCCCTCAAAGAACATGAAATAAACGCATAAAACGCGCATTTTAACCCATTAAAGCGTGCACATGAAATAAAGCGCTCATTTGATACGCGTTATCGGTTACGTTACTGTTACGATGAATAAAACGCTAGTACGAGAAGGCATGCAAACAAAGTACCATGATTAAATTTTAGCATGTAAAAAGAGGATACCACATGTCTCCCGTTTAACGTATAAATTTTTAGGTAGGTTCTAATGCGCGCGTTAAAATAGCGCGGATATAAATATAAATAAATAACGGTTGAGAGCTCGTGCAAAACAGAGTGGTGGAAAATAATTCAACGATATCAATATGTTATGTGTACGTAAATTATATATTAAAAATTACTATCTATCATAATATCACATATGCCTTGTATCATTCTTTTCAATACTTTCTGTTAAAACTAATAAGATACACGTGACTATTCCTCCATTTATTATTAACCTTCGGTATTTACTCCGAAATTTCCTCAACTGGGTTCCTATTCGCGGGTTCAATCACCCGATAAAACTTTCAGTTAATCTCTATCGTTGCTTTAAAATTAACGCAGTTGAATCATTTCTTTTTCATCTTAAAGGTAAAAATCCGAAGAATAAGATTATTGCAATTTAAAATTACGTAAAGTTGAGTTTGAAAAATATATTTGTTATAAACAATTTTTTACAACGCTATTTGGAGTTTTAGCGCTTAATTGAAAAAAAAGTTCGCTGGACCCGCGAATATCGATTAGGGTTAATAATATCGACAGGGTTAAAATCGGGAATAATCCTCGCTAGTCGTGACATGTAAACCTTAACTATCAGGACCATGTATTATTAATAGAGTTGTGTAGAATTACAATACTAGCGTGCTAGTGCATCGGCGCTGCAACGCTGTCAATAATTTTCATTGTTCGCCCTTTTCTTCTTCCACCTCGTATAGACCGCAAACTTTGTTGGCCGGTACAGCTTTATCTGAAACAACGTTGTACTATACGTTCGAGCTCTTTGTTGCAAAAATGGCACATGTCAAACGCGGGCAATAATCTAATGTTTTCCTATCGATTTCTATTTTCGACTAACGATTTATTCACTGCATAACTCGTTGTTCGCATTGCACATACGCGACAATCGTTTCTCATTATACATTCTATTTTATTTACGAAGCAATTATACTTCGATAATTCATTGTTTTACCTATTTAGTTTTGCCCGAGGTTTTGCCCTTATTCGTGCAATTTTCGAAATTCGGCTCAAGCCCCCCGTGAGATAAAGGGCTCGTTTATTCAACATGCGACGGTATGCAAACCAGCAATTTCATCGATTTTCTTTCGCTCCACCGGCGGGATGTAACGGCGTTTCTGTTCACATTTAATATTTAGACGCGCCGCGAAGAAGAGTTACGCGAAGGCGACGCGGTAGCTGCAAATTTATTCCTTCTTGTGAAATCGTTTCCGTCAATTTTCCTTTAATTTAGGATCGCGTCACGCGTGAGAGTCAAATCAAAGAGACGGAAATGACGAAAAAAAGAAAAGCAATTCAAGAATATAAGAGAAATTCAATTTTGAAAATTCGTCTTGAAACCCCGATTTCTGATATGATCGAACATAATTGGAAATTCGAAAGTCTCGGAAAATGGATTCGTGCAAAATCCTTTCTTAATTCATCCATCCTCCATAACGGGCTCTCTCTTTATCATTTCCTTCTCTACCGCGTCAATATCACATAACTGTCAATGAAGTTTTTCGCTTAACTTGCGCTTTGCGTCGCTTCACATCTCATTCGATCGATTCAAACGTCGGAAAAAGTTACGCGTCCGCCACTTCCGCAAATTTGCGCGGAATTCGAGAGTTTTCACTTTTTCGTCGTAAAGAGAAGCTGTACGTGATCAAGCGCCACGTTGTTCGAACGACGTGATCTTCTCGGAGCGAATTCAGCTGTTCGGCTGCTTTCCGGACCGTGCCGAAAGGTAGGACGACGCCGCGTAACGCCCCAAAAGACGGCTGTTAGCTTATCAGCGAATCGAGCTGATAGCAGCGGAGCGCGCGCAACCCCAAAAATAGAATGCGAATCCCGATGGGACTCTCGTGCAACCGCCTTGGCTTCTTCGTGGGAACCATTTTGATAACGCCTCGTAGATAGCGCAACACAACCTCTCCGTTGTTCCATCAATACATTAATTATTTCCGATCGCTATCAACGGCGTTGTACCGCCTAAGCCTATAATGCTTATAAGACCCGGAATTTATAATAACGAGGTAGACTGCGAAAAAAAAAATTTTACGACAAAAGTCGACGCTATAACGGAACACGCGCTATCTTAACAAACTATAGGTTTTATGCTAATATACTTACTTCGTGTACCAGATCTCTCAATGTAAATTTTACGTTAATAATTACGTTGAGAGCGACGTAAAAAAAAAAAACGCGGATAATAGAAAAAAATCGTGACCGCGCATCAGGTAAATTAAATATCTCTGCTAAACTTACCGATCATCTTGGGATAAGGCAGGTTGAGGTTGTTCATAATTCGGATGAACTCCTCCAACGACTTGGACAGCCTGGGATTAAGGGCTACCTCCTCGGCCACGCTGGTGACGGTTCTGCCGTTGTAATCGTGTGCGGGGTATAGCCGGTAATTTCGCGGCAGCGTGAAGATCATCTCGTGAACGGATTTGTACAGGATCGCGGCGGATCCGCCCTGCGCACAGGTGGCACGGTAATTCAAACGGACGGCAATTGTGTCATAAAGCTGCGAGACTTGTAGTACACACGAGAGAGTAAACGGCGCGATAAAGAACGATTAACAGGTAAAGATAAAGAATGAAAAAAAATTTAAATCACATATCAATTAATTCGTGCAACAAAAATCCGTGGAGTTGTTGAAAAAAAAATTCATCAATCTTAATAAAATTTTTACAGATACAGAGATAATTCCCGCGGCGATGGAAAGTGGTACTCGTCGGAATTAAATCAATGTCGGTCCCATTAGTCCTGTTACTGTCCAGCAATAGAGGGAAATTTGAAGCGAAGTTTGAAGCACGCCACGGGCAAAAATAATGATTCCGATCGTTCTCCTGTGTTAAAGCGTCATTTAAACCGAGCTTTCGAGGGAAGAAAAGGTCGTGGCACGTTTATAAAATGCACCGACGCGCGGTCGGTCGAGCACGATGACGGACGGCTATTCATCACGCGAGAGTTGCGGAGAAGAAGTCTTTCATATTCCCGGTGATATATCGACGTTTATTTGCACTACGTGCGACACGTAGGGAAAATGTTATTGCGCGCGTCCGTCTCGTCGTTTCGACGAGAATTCAGGATGCCGCCGCGTCTGTTCCAGGTCCGGCATCGATCGTCAATTAGTTATGATGTTCCAAATAAATCATTTATCGACATCCGACAATTAAATCGGCGACAAGTCGCGAACGGCACTTCCGGTTCGGAGAAAAAGATTTTTTTGATTAAGCGGTAGCGATGCACCGAAAGAGGACGCAACGGCAACTTGCTGGCTGAAATTAATACTTGGGTCAATGAACTCGGAAGTGCGGGTCGATCAATCTAGGAAGATTTTCATGAGTCACGTGCAATTTGTCTACACGGTGTGCCCAGAATTATTGCACTTTTTCACTTGTTTTAAACAAATTTTATATAGGATTGATCACTTTGAAAGAAATTTCGATTCCGCAATTTTTCTCCGCAACTTTCTGAATTTCAATATTCCAAATCTATAATTAAATTTCAAGTCGTAAAAATTCCAATTAAGTTTATATAAAACTAATATGTTTACATATGATTAATACATTAATATATTATGCATAGAAGTGTTATATTATTTATCTATACTTAAGAAAAGAATATCTTTGAAGATAAAAAAATCTGCAGTCTAATTAATTATATAATTCTATAACATCTATATTTGATACATCTTCAAATGTCACCGGTTAAGCGAAACAAGAACGTAACAATGGAATATTAGTGCAGGAAATCCGTGTGCAGGAAATATTCTCCGCAGAAAAGCGTGAGTGCGGTTTCCAACTTGACGAGGAAACTTCGCGAAACTGTTCTCTGCACCACATATTCAATGCCGAACATGGTCGTCTAATTGTGAGTTTCGTTTGCCGGCCAGGTTTTATTTAATGGCCAGATTTACGAGATAAATCAGCCGTCAAAGCGGAAAATGGCACGGAGTTAATGCTGAATCGAGATTTTGGGAAAACGCGGCTGCTCAGTTATTTCTTTTACACGACATAAAAGTTCAGAGATTTTTCCCTCGCCTCGCAATTCTTCCCTTTATGCTCGCATGGGATGATACTATAACGGTAGGTGAACGGACTTCGCATTATATGTTATCGCGTTCGTAACGTGAAGATACGACACCGTTGTTCCATTTAATCGCGCATATGTGCAGTGATCGAAGGATCACGCGCGGTAATCACGCGTATCCGGCAAAGACGCACGACTTTTCCGGCGAGTTACTCCCGGAAACCGCGGGGCTTACCTGAAAATCAGTTCTTCCGCATCCCCGTATCAGGAGCGCATCACCCGTGAACGCGATTGCCTGCTCGTCGCAAACATACGTGACGCAACCTGCACAGATATCAGAGATGGAATATTTACGATTATTGTGCTTCACTTCCCTCCGACCGCCATCCGGCAAGTATCCGCTTCGCGTTTTTCACAAGCCAAAATATATATTCATTCTCCTTGCGGCGATTCGCTTCGTAATTCGGCCGGCACGATAAACTGTGCTGTCGCTCCTCGGCTTATTCATTCCATTTGCGACATCGCACTCGGCAAAAAAAAAACAGAAAGGGTAAGAGAAAAAGAAATTGCGGACAGATATATTACGTTGGCCCGAAAAATATCGACACGCGGTAGATAGATGTATCCGACATGGAGAACATGATTCCTATCCCCCGAGATATAAAAAATGGTTTGGAATCGAGTGTGGTAATTGGAAGGTTTTGCGTAAACGTGTGCAATGACTTGTCAAATAATAGAATTACGATAACTATTTTTTTTTCCTACAAATTTTGTAAAAACTAAATCGAGGATAAGCACTTCATAAGAAATGTAAAACGTAACATTATTATTAAGTTACGAAACTACGTTTCGGTATTAGAATTATTTATGTTCTCCACAAGTAGCGCATGTGTAACGTATGTGCTTTACAAAATATTTGCCGGTTTCCCTTTCTCGCGAAATGTATGCGGCGCATTTGCCGTGAAAGAGCTGAAATATCTAGGAATTTAATCAGCATCGTTGGAGTTTTACGGCGTATAGGAATGAAGCTGATATCGAATATCTAACCCGCAGGTATTTAATGCACGCTATTCGCGTATTCGGCACGAAAAATCGAGCCTATCGAGCGAGCCGGATATCGAGATAGCTCAATAGACGCTTTCAGGATTTTTTTCCCGGACAAACGATTGAGTCGCGACGAGTGGCGAATTCGGCGCGATCGATAAGAATGGCCATATCCCTTTTTTTTCGTCCCGTTTCGCCGTGCAAACTCCAGTAGCTCAGTACGTTGCTATATACATGTGTATGTACATGTGTTGCGGAGCTACTGAATACCACAAACATTGGAGACTAAATTAAAAAAGAAGCTGTTTATATCGTCGCTAAAAATTAATAATTTCGGAATTATCAGATAGAAAAAAAGGAAAATTCCATATAAGCTTCTTTGTGCTTCTAAACTAAAATATAAATATAACAGAATATTGGTTTTATTTAATATAAAGTAAAAGTTATTTCAGTGACAGTTTAATCTCAAAATTAATTACAAAATTTAAAGTTAATAGATGAGCAAACAAAATTACTGTCAGACCATTTTGCTAAGATTCAATAAAAAATTTAAGTTGATTGATTCAAGTTTATAATTATCAGTAGTGACGATCAATGTCGGGACAGGCTGTACAAGAGAACTTCGGCCCGAGTGAAACTACCTTAATGATAGAAAAAGATATCAATATAAGAACACGTGCGTTGAAAAAAAACACTGCAGAAAATTGCAATTGAGATATATCCTGGATAGGGAACAGCTCAAGTTAATCACTCCAGGGACTGTATCTCACATGCAACACACGTGTAAAATTCAAAACACGGTGCAGCACATGCTCTTCTTCTTCTGAAGATAATGAAAAAGAAGAGAAATATGAGAAAATAGACAAAGCAACATCAAGATAAAATTTTAATCTTTTTTAAAAAAATTGTTTGGACTGCATAAGAATATGAAGGAGAATTATATGTAATAATGTACGGTACATATAATAAAATACGATATAATAAAATGAAATATTAAATAAAAATAAGAGAACATTTTTTTAAGGGGGAGCATTCAAGCAAAAATCAACTACTAGCAGTCTTTTAGATAAAAATTTGAAATTGTGTACTTTTACGTTGTTTTCAACGCTGAATTGAATGGTGTAACAATAAATTATTTAAAAAAATTTTTCTACCATTTTGAAAAAAAAATTTTTTTTAAATAATCTGATTGTAAAATCCATACTCTTATTTGTTGGATATCTCACATAACATGTAGGTAAAATTTCAGTTAAAAAATTAAATGTTTGTCGTAGTTATAAGGTTTTTTTTAAAAAATAAAGTCTTATTTTTTTCAATATGCTTATATTTAACACAAAATACATGTAATTTGTAACAAAAAATAGCTACAAAATAAATTTAAGAAAACTCGGAATAATAAATATTGAGTGATTGTAAGTATTTCACTTTTACTATAAATTTTCTTCAAAAACTTCCTGCACTATATGTTAGACCTTCTTGATGTAAAGCATGTTCTCTTTGTAACTGTGCAGTTCATATTATTTTTCTAGCACGTTTGAAGCATCCGTTTTTTATTCCACTTTTACCCGATTTCCGCTAATAACGCACTTATTGTCATTCAAAGCAAGATAAAAACGGATGCTTAAATATCAAGAGAGAACGAAAGCGAAGTTCAAACGTGCTAGAAAAATAATATGAACTGCACAGTTACAAAGAGAACATGCTTTACATCAAGAAGGTCTAACATATAGTGCAGGAAGTTTTTGAAGAAAATTTATAGTAAAAGTAAAATACAATCACTCAATATTTATTATTCCGAGTTTTCTTAAATTTATTTTGAAGTTATTTTTTGTTACAAATTACATGTATTTTGTGTTAAATATAAGCATATTGAAAAAAATAAGACTTTATTTTTTGAAAAAAACCTTATAACTACGACAAACATTTAATTTTTTAACTGAAATTTTACCTACATGAGGGATATCCAACAAATAAGGGTATGGATTTTACGATCAGATTATTTAAAAAAAAATTTTTTTTTCAAAATGGTAGAAAAAAATTTTTTTAATAATTTATTGTTACACCATTCAATTCAGCGTTAAAAACAACGTAAAAGTACACAATTTCAAATTTTTATCTAAAAGACTGCTGGTAGTTGATTTTTGCCTATTTTCTCTCTTCTTTGCTCGTCTTCAATAAGTAATCTGTATGCCAGAAATGATTGAGTCTCTACTGATGTATTTTTGAATGGAATACTTATAACAATTCGCACGCGTATGTCTTTCTAACAGAAACTGCAATTGATCAGATCGTGCATTCGAGAGAAACGCGCGTTATATTTTTAATCCTTTCAATCCACGTGTAAAATAGCGCTGCCTCTCACCGCCCTCGCAAGAAAGTATTTCGCCACTTTTTCTCGGTGGCTCAATTAATAAAATAATAGACCGGGCGAACGTGCGATCGATCGCGCAAGAAATGCACCCCCCCCCCCCGCCCCCCATCCCTCGCTGATATCGCTGTAGCGGTGCGCGGGACGTGTTCCCTAACTTTTCTGCAACGTTATTAAGCCCCGAAACTTTTCGTTACGGCACTCCGAAAATCTGTGCTTCGTATTCATCGTGCGAGCGCATTAAAAATCGCGTTAAAACCGGATTACCGAATGCGTCGCGAAAAGATTTACAGGATACGACGCCGCACACACCGGCATGCGCGTTGAAGAGAAAAGCTTGAAAAGGAAACGGTTTTAATGGAATTTGGAGTAACTTCTTTCAAGTAAACTGAGACTTAAAACGCCCGCTATTAAAAATGAACGTTAAGAGGCAGAACAACAATTTTCGAAAAAGATAAAGATAAACGATAAAGATAAGAAGAGGGAAAAGTACAAGAACTCATTTTTCACTCGTAGACTCAACAAGACAATATATCATATACATATATCGTAACGCGAAATAGCTCACAGAACATGTCGAGAAAACGCTGAAATCCACGTATGTATCAAATATGATACACTATGCACTTAGCCCCTTATAGGGCGGCGTTGTGCTCTATTTTACCACTCCATGGAGCTGACATATAGGCGATGGTAGGATGCTACTAGCTAAATGGACAATGGTATAATATTTTACCGCTCGAAACCAAAAAAAAAAATAGACAAAAGCAAAAGTTACGTTCCTGACAAAAAAATCGTTTTGTTTTCACCAGTATTATGTATTACTTTTAATCGCGTCAATTAAGCGCGTATCGATTCCCCAAGTTATTGTCGACTTTCTATCTTAAAGATTAATGAGTTGCAAAGTGGAACAGTGTCCAGAGGTGTGTCGCAAAAATACTTAATACGTCATTTAAAACATTAAATAAGAACATTTGTGTCGTTCTGGAAAAAAAATGAATCATAAAGTAATATAATGAAGTATAATAAAAAGAAGAGAGTTATTAATTTATATACGTTCACTTGTAAGTTCTAGAAATCTCTGAATGTTATATAAATTTAGAAATGTTAAAAATTTTGATACACATGATTTCCATACGCGTCGATCTATTATATAATCCGATAATAAATTATCGTTTTATCTCGAACTTCCAATGTATATAAATTCGCCGGACACCCTGCACAAGTTCTCGGGAGTACATTTGCTAACAGAGCCGAATCTGCGAAGACACTGACCTTCGGTGTGACCCGGAGTGGGCAGTACTCTCAGTTGGTGCCTGCCGAATTGGACTTGATCATGCGGCTCCAGGAGCACGTCCGCCTCGGCGCCGCTGCTGCGCGATATCATGGATTTGCAGCCGGGCAACAGGCGCTTCAGTCGGCCCGTTCCAGTAATGTGGTCCGCGTGCATGTGCGTGTTCACTGCAATACAACAACGAGAAAGATTGCCGCGGAGCCAAAGACGCCAGTCATTGTTACCGGCAAATGCATAATCGATAAGCGCAGCCGAGTCCGCGCGCGAGATCGCGATCGCTGTATCATGTTTCCGTAATGCGTTACAGAAGACTCTGTCGCAGAGTCGAGAAAAACGGCGTATCTACGACTGTTCTAACGCAACGTAGAGACACGGCAGTCGCGGAATTATTCAACGGCTGTAAGATTGTACGGAGAGATCGATGGAAGTGTAAATGAATGATTGTAAAGATATGTTCTCCCGTGAGGAATGGCAGGATTAATTTTTTAAAGATACTTAATACCGACATTTGAAAAGTTGAGCGGCGAACAGTTGGCGCGCTTCGACATTGATTAAAAAGTCTGAAATTAATGTCGAAAGTTCGGAAATACCTCTCGTACGTCATTTTTAAAATATCTACGCGTACGTATAAATGCGCGTACGTATAAATGCGCGCACGTGGATATAATTTAGCTTTAATAGATAATTAAATTACATTAAATCTATTAATCTAATTAGCGGCCTCGCTCTCTTTGTACGACTGAGTTACGAATAATGCGCATAGTTTTACGGGAGTGCAGGGAAGGGAGGGGGGCGGTATTAATGGCGTTTGCATTATCGGAAAACAGAGAGAGGTGCATTATGGAAATGTCCGTTTGTTCGGGACAGAATTGGCACGCGCAGAGTTCCGCATAAACAAGTGCATACGTTCCACTTAGCCAAAGCGATCCCTCGCAAAAACCACCACTTCGCGGTTTGATAACGCAATAAGTAATAAGGTAATCCTATCAACCCTTTTTCATCGTGATATACGACGCCGTAAACTTTGGCCCTTCTTGCCGAACCGAAAATCCCTTCGCTATTAAGGGCGCAAATTTCGAAAGGGCTGCCTCCTGCGCGAGTAAGGAACGGATGCTGATTTATCTCGACTCTGAAATTAACACCAATTAAAAATTGAGGTGTTTAAAAGAGGAAAAAACACAAAAGTGTCTTTTGCGTGTTATATAAATCATGTTACATTCTAAATTTAAATTTTGACAACTGAATTTTTTAAAGACATTTAATATATGTATATCAAATTATCACCTACATGGAAAGGACGCTTTTGCCAAAAGATTCTGAAATTTAGCTAGATATACAGATCTAAAAATAATTTTGTCGGAAACTCAAACTAATTGCAGAATATCAAATTTTTTTGCAACACTGCTCATCAACTATTGAGTTTCCAACATAATTGTTTTGATGGTCCAACAAAATTATTTTCAGATCTGTATATCTAGCTAAATTTTAGGATCTTTTAGAAAAATCGTTCTTTCCGTGTAATATATTTCAAAATTACCTGTTCACTTCCTTTCTTATTACACAATTATTGTACACTTATTGTACTTCGAATAACGGACGTTTCCGTGACACAGCTTCAACAGCCGTATACCGCTGGCTCAGTCAAACTTTCGATCAAGGGTTAAACTTAATTAATTTCCATGCAGATCCGTCCGCGCGCGCGATAAGCACGATTTGTCGAAATAACGCTCCCGTTGTCGTCGTCGTCGTGGCGACACACACAGGATCATTATACAGCCGGCCGCGAAATCGCGTATCGGCTCCGTGCTCCCGAAGTCCAAGTTCTTTATCGAAATTGGCGAAGTTCGACAATATGCCCAAACGCGCACTCTCACCGGGTTTATGGTCCACAGGCGTGTTAACCCCCGGGACAATGGCGAAACTATGCGGGGTCCACGACCGTCCTTAGCGGCGGCGGGATTGCATGCTAATTCATTACGAAGTTCGGCAAATATTGGTCGGTTAGTAGGATAGTTCGCGATATAACTCTGCGCCCTCGGCTCGTAAATCACGGCACGGGGCATCGCGTAATTGCCGACAAGTACATTTCCGACGATATCGAGTAACGACGCCGCCCGGTAAGATAATACGTTTTGTTGTTAATTAGTGTACGTAATTAATTAGTTATCGATTCGGCTGTTTTACGGCCGGAATACGTCATAAATGTTAGATTTCTGCAGCCGCGGAATGATTAATTTCGCGTAACGCTAATGCTCAAATGTCAACCTAATAATCGTACATTATTGCGACAGTAATGTAGCTCTTACTCAACTATGCGCGGATCGATACGGTTGAAAAATATTTCTGAACGTTCAAGTAACGTCAAATCTTGCGAAATAAAAAAGGGCAGGAAATTGGAAAAATTCTATTACACGTAACGTTGTGGAAGCTGCTATCGATATTGATTTGGCACTTCGCGAGTTGTAAAAGCTAAAAGGGTAATAAACGTCGATATGTAAAGCTTAACATTCACGGTAAATATTTCCAGAAAGTTTCTTCAAAATTTCATGTACGTAGTTGAGGCAACACTTTCGAGTTTTAATCGATATTTCTAGTCTAATAGTAGCTCTTCAGCAGAACTTTCTGAGAAAGATCGTTTGTATATTATATCATCAAAATGTCACAAGTTAAATCTCCGAAGGAAAATGCGAGGATATTGTCGCGACACTTTATAATATTATTTCAATTAGATACACTATCCTCAAACTTACGTGATCGGGATGATCGACGTAATTATGACATTTTTCCTAACGAATTCAACAATAATCGGATTCTCCCCTCACATTCGGCGTAAGTCGAATTACGAGGTTTAAATAAATGACGATTATAAATGTTGACATAAAACTATTTTTAACAGGCGACTACTTCGCAAAAATTCGAATTTGCTTTCAAAATGTATATACCAGGTAAACTTCACGTGCTATCGAGCTGGAGTAGGTATAACACGCAGAGCACACAATCCCGCGACTAAATAATATCGAATGATACGAAAAACTCGCACGGCACTCCCGGCGCGTTTTCTCTCACGCGTCGATTTTCCGCTATTTTTCGCAAAACCGCGATATTTACGGGCGAGATAATGATCTACGCTCGGTTGACAACTCACGGGCGTATTTCAGCGTTAATCCCAGCTCCTCGACGATTGTTTTGTCACGATCGGCCCATTCGATGACCGGATCGATCAGAATCGCTTCCTTATCGTTGACATCGGCCAGCAAATACGTGTACGTACTGGACACTGGATCGAAAAGCTGGAAAGAGAGAGATTGGAACAGTTATTTCGTTACTTCCTAGTGCAATCACATGCGGATTTCATATTACATTACCTGTATTACGTTAAAACATAAATAACATATTATTCTCTATTTTAATAATAATATCATTTCTCTCGTGATTATGTCTTTATAATTACGTTATTACAAATAATACCGATTAAATACGTACAATGCGCATACATTAAAGCGCTGAAAAGGAACAAAACGTAATGAAACAAGGAGATGATATAAATTAGTATCCATATGACATATTACGTCGTGCGCGATTATAAAATCGCTGGCAAAGGAGATTATGAAATACATTTCTAAATAATATTTACTATACATATGTGTTTCGATTCCGAACAAACCCAATAAAAATACGCCAGATAAGATAATCAACTGCGGGCAACAAACGCATTCACATTTTGCAACGTTTAACAACGATTTGTACATTTGGAATCCTGTCGCATGTTTAATTGCACCCCGACCCTCTGATTCGCATGTAACATGCAAGAGGCAAGGGGACGGTGAAAAATGTAATTCTTTGAATATATACACGAGACTGCGCGAAATTTCATTTTCACGAAGCGCAAATGAAAAACAAAATTTTTTTTTTGCATTTTTTCCCAATGTTAATGCGCAACATTTACTAATCCTGTCAGTACTGACCCGTTTTTGAGGATAATTCGGATGCGTAATAATTTTTGCTTTTAGTCAGATTTTTCATCTGCGTTTTCATCTGATCTAACTCGGAGCTTGAAAAAATGAAAATGAACGCTTTTCGCTTCGAGCGTGAATCCAAATGTGAAGGAAAAATATAATAACGACGCGATGTTTTTTCTTTCGCCGCAGTTTCTTTTTCGATACGATCGTTTATCCATATTCGTTGCAAAAATAAATTTGAATTAAATTCGTTCGGCCAAGCAGGTGGCCCATTTATTGCAACTTATTACTTTGCTGCAATATAATCTTATTACGCCAAGCTAACAGACGTGAAAGTCGTAAAAACAATGGCGAGTATTTCGCATTCCATACGTCAAGATAAACTCAAAACCGATTACTTTTCGATTGATAAATCAAATTTCCGTTCAAACCGTTTCAAACGTCTGCTAAAATTGTAAACGGAAAAGACTCTATAAAAAAAAAACACGCATTCAGTTACGGTTGACCAGTGCAGAATATTATAGAAACGATGGTTAAAGAACACGTCAAAACCATTGCGGTAACAGCACTGAGTAAGAAAAAAAAGAGATTGATTGATTTTACTTAAAACAAGTTCGTTGGTATTATATGATATATGTAGAACGTGCAAAGTTACGTGAAAAATTCCTCGACAATTTCGTTAGAAAATAAATGTTCCATATTCGTGAAAAAAATCCTGTCTTGAGATATTTCAGTCAGCCGGAGTTACTTGCACCTTCAACATCAAAATTTTTACAATCCATATAAACTCTCGGATGTAAAGTTCGGTGTTTTCAAGGTTACTCCGAATATCCTCTCAAATGCGAACGCGAATGCCGATGTTCTCCCTGACCGCGCTTTTCTACATTTTCCTGCAATCCTTTCTCTTATCCCTCGAAATCCGGGATACGGAGTCGCTTTGTTTTATATGCAGCCAACGCAGAGGAAAAGGAAACAAAGTTTAGATACTTTTTTTTTTAGTTGCACTTTTCTATAGCACCTTACAATACTTCCTTTCCTTATCTCTTCCGAAATATCGAATACGTATTCATTTTGTTTAAAGCTGTACAAAAAAAATAGACCCTAAATCTGTTCTTTCAAAATATAATCAACTTCTATACTTTCCAATGTTCTTGTACGTTTTTTTTTCTCTCAAATTGTAAATATGTAAAATTTCAAAAATTATTAATTACTACTAATTTGTCGAATTATTTTTCCGGATTAAAGATCGTTTTATACAATTTTAAAAATGAAATAGAATGAAAAGAAAATTGGAATTTTAAGGATTAAAGATTTGATTGAAAAGAAAAACCAAATATAAAAATTTTGTTTCTAATTAAATGATTATCTTGATAAGATGACTTTAATCAATTCAATTAATTTAATCTAATCTATTAACTTATCGAGTTATACTTATACTTTATACTATTTTGTTAAAAAGAACAACATTAATAATTTCTTATTATTTAACATATAGAAAAATGAATTAAATTAGGAACCGTAAATTATATAATTAGAAATAAAAAAATTTTCTCTTGATTGAATTAGCCGCTGATTAATTAGTTAATTCGGAATTTGATTAAGTCTTCCTTACAGAAATTTAATAAACTGGAAAGTAGTGATTTATTAATTATTTATTTTAAGTATTAAAAACAGTGAATAGTAGCAAAAAATATAAACAAAAAAATGAATAACTTTCATTATTGAATTAAATTTCTGTAAAGCTTTTATCTTTACATTCGAAAAATGTGAAAAAAGGTGATATGCCTAATCTAATCCTACATTCAAGATCGTGTTAAATAAGTACGCTTTTTTCGGCTATTCCATTGGCCGAATCTTGAGATCGTTCATTCGAATAAACTTAATCGATATGTACCAGCTACTTGCATAGTTTAAAAATATTTAATTTAATTAAACTATCCAAATATCTCAAATCTTTTAAATTACTTATTTCAAACTCTATATAAAAATATATACGATCTTGCAAACGATCTTATACAAAGTTTAATTTCTGTCGACTCTGACTGCAGCAAATATAAAATAATCATTTAATTAAAATAATAATTAATTTAATTAATAATAAAATGTGGATCGTCAAATCGTTCTAATTACACTCCAAAGGTTTTCACGTGAAATACAAACAAGTTCAAAAGAAAAGTTAATTGTTTAAAAGATATTATTAATTATCGGCTAAATTAATACCACGGGGTGCCTTCCATTTAGCGACACAAGCATTATTCTGTCTTTTTTCAACATTCAATAACAAAGACAGAATGATGCTTGTATCGACTAATTGTGTGACTTGTGCGTGCCGCTAAATCAGGGTTGTGCACCTGTGCGTAAAATATATAATAACGACTCTACGTTTACGTGTAAACAACGTAAACTATTGTAAAAGTGTTATTTATGTAGACAGTCAGTAAACTATATATTTATTCATTTAATAAATACATATAATTTAACGTTTATGTAAAAAAAACTACCGCATTTGAGTAAGAAAAATTCTCTACATTCTTAAAAATCTTAATCTCGTAGTTAAATTAATGTTCAAAATACATCAAGAATATCCTAAAGATGTCGTGGTATCTTTAGCCTGTTCCTAGATATATTTTGGACATTTCTACCATGGATAGAGACTGCTTTATAATTTAATTCTTATATTTAATATTGTATATATTATGTATTATTAGCAGGGTTGTGCATCTACGCGTAAAATATAATACTCTACGTTTACGTGTAAACAACGTAAACTATTGTAAAAGTGTCATCTATGTAGACAGTCAGTAGACTATATATTTATTCATTTAATAAATATATATAATTTAACATTTATGTAAAAAAAAATTACTATTTGAGTAAGAAAAATTCTCTGGTTGCATTTTTAATCTTAATCTCGTAGTTAAATTAATGTTCAAAATACATCAAGAATATTCTAAAGATGTGGCATCTTTAGTCTGTTCCTATGATACATTTTGAACATTTCTATTGTGGGTAGAGACTGCCTTATAATTTAATTCTTTTATATTCTATATATTAGTGATACAATTTACAATAGTCTACATGGTTTACAAGTCTAAATTGTCTACGCAACAAAAAGACCATGTAAACATCACGTAGATTTCACGTAAATAATCCGTGTAGACGTAATCTTGAAATCTACGGCACAACCCTGATTATTAGTGATACAATTTACAATAGTCTACATAGTTTACAAGTCTAGATTGTCTACGTAGCAAAAAGACCATATAAACATCATGTAGATTTCACGTAAGTCGTAAATAATCCGTGTAGACGTAATCTTGAAATATACGGCACAAACCTGCGCTAAATGGGAGGCACCCACAAATCCATTTATGACCGGAGGATCTCGAACGTACGTTTACGTTCGACAATCTTAAAGTGACGCTCGTCAGATGACGTTGGCGGCCAAGTCGAGCCCCCCTGCTGGACATGCGCCGATTATCTCTCGCGCGAATGTCACTTACCTGGCGAAACAGGAAATCTCTCGAAAAGGGCACGCGCTCCGTCAGAATACCAGCCATGGTGTGCTTCATGCGCGTCCCGTTCCCCCGCAGAGCTAACGGCGACGTTACTCGGTAGAAATTACGAATCATGATTCGTTGCATCCGTTTATATATGGAGCCACTGCCGCACTCCTCTCGTCGCGTAGCGCCGCGTATAACTACCGACGATAATGACACTCCAACAATGCCGGTCAATTCATCACTCCCTCGTATCCCGCAACATTGCGCAATATGGTTATCTCTTGCCATCTTTTTAATATCGCCTCGCATAATTTGCCACGTCACGTTGCGCTTATTGCCGATTGTTGAATCATGAAAAGATAATTTCTCAATTAGGCTAATGCGAATTACGTGTTATCGAGTGATATGCACGGGCGCATCGTAGACACGCCTCTTCGACAAGGTCGCCCATCTCGAAAAGCGTTATTCAAGGTTTGTTTGTTCCTTGCCGCCGGACTGTATATACAAAACTTTCTGTCTCGTTTTAGCAAACTTTAAATATATATATATATATATATATATATTTAAAGTTTATATATATATATATATATATATCTATTTCATTTTAAGTATGTATAGTACAAGAGTGTATACATATATATACACTATATATAGTTCATCATAAAGAATTCAGACATGTTTGGTTCTCTACCAATTTTAATTGCTATTTAGCACTTATTATCGCACCTTTCAAGGATCATGATTTATAACAGGATTCTGACAAAGCCATTCATTTAGCTAGTCTTAGAAAATAAAATATGAGACTTTATGTATGTTAAAAATCGTGTAAATAATCGACTTATTGATGGCTTTGTATATCTAAACTTTGTTTTAATTATTGATCAAATTGGCTATTTATAAATTTATTCCGGTTGCTTAACGTTAATTGTGTAAGCATTATAATATATTACGGAATCAATTAACATATCGCGAATAATTGCGAATTGCATTTGTTCGGCTTCTTGAATTTCCCACCTGTCGTCAGTGTCGCCACGTGCCATGCTAATTCTGTGCCGCTGAGGTTTCGCTCTTTCCGGTTTGTATTCTCGCAAAGGTGTGTGGTGTTGACAGCTCCTTGACGATTTAAGCATTTCAAGCCGGTTTTAGTGAACATATATGAGAATTTATAATGAGAAATATATCAATTTAGTGGCTTTTACGATTTTCACCGATTATTCAGATCGAAGCGTTAATCTGTGTTTCACACGTGTGGCGTACGTGCATGTGTACTATTTTACGTGTTGACCATTTTACTGAGTTAAATTTCCCTTTCAGATGCCGTCTGTAACGCTGAAGGACGTCGATCAGCAAAAATTTGTGAAGGCTTTCGCAGCCTTTCTCAAAAAGTAAGTAAGAAATATTATCCCAATAGGAACCTAACCTAACCTATAACTAACCTCATACATGTGTAATGTCCAAAACACATTGAATCGTTCGTATTTGTTCTTTATTATTTAATTTTACTACTATTAATTCTTTTCTGCATCATTTTAGTTGACTAAAAATTTGCGTTTTATATTGCATGTTGTAAAAATAACCGTGTACTATAATTGTGTACTGTAATACTATTTTGCAACTCGACTTGTACTTTATAAAAATTTAGAACTGGCAAGAATTGACTAAAAATTTGCATTTTATATTGCATATTGTAAAAATAACCGTGTACTATAACTGTATACTGTAACACATTGTACATTTTGTAACTCGACTTGTACTTTATAAAAATTCAGAACTGGCAAGATGCGCGTGCCAGAGTGGGTGGATATTGTGAAGACGGCTAAATTCAAGGAACTCGCTCCTTACGATCCCGACTGGTACTACATCAGATGTGCGGCCCTGGTGCGTCACATCTACATTCGCAGCCCAATCGGAGTCGGCGCCGTTACCAAGATCTTTGGCGGACGCAAACGCAATGGCACCCACCCCAGCCACTTCTGCCGGTCGTCGAGTGGTGTCGCGCGCAAGGCGCTCCAAAGCTTGGAGCAGCTGAAGCTGATCGAGAAGGCACCCCTTGGAGGACGCAAATTGACCAGCCAAGGACGCAGGGACTTGGATCGAATCGCCGCGCAAGTTAAGGCTAAGAGCAAAAAACAGCTTAAGCTGCAGGAAATTATTATGTAATATTCTTTTATGTTTCTGTAATAAAAAAACACATTTAAACATTTGAATTAAACACTTTGAATTGTATCCGATTAATAATAGTATAAATTTTATCGCTGCGATAAATTTACTGAATAGTATCTAAGAATTATAAGTCATGGATCTGATTGAAGCATGAATCTAATAAGATTATTTTAATATTTATTCTTTGATGCAACTGTAGATATATATTCGAAAATCACGAATATTAATAGCAAATTCGGTAACTATATTATACTAGATTAGTGCACATTAAAAGCTGCATAAAGTATACACAAAGTTAGTAAGATTAAATGATAAAGTCGTATATTTTAAACGATTAAGTATTGTATACTTAATCATATTGTCAACATTATTTAACAAAATATATATTATTCTATTGTCGGAGCAGATTATATATTATACACTGTATTTAGATGCTTTAAATGTGGTATCTAACAGTATATACATATACATTGGATTAGTGCATTTAACATAGTGTAGGGCATAGTGGTATAGTAGTATAGGGCATTTTATAAAGAAAATTGTTTTCTTATAAGCACATTCAATGCTTTCTAGAATATATCATTTTAGATACTAAATTCATAAAATACGTATTGAAACATTAATGAAATAAATATCAATCTGATTACTATATCAGATTATAGTTATTAATCGACATATCCTTCACATAAAAATGATATAAAATGAAATAGAAAATTCTAACGAGAAATGAGGTACATACATCAAATTGATATTTTACCATAAAATTCTTCGATACATTTTACCATACGTACCTCGACAATGTCGATAAAGTGTCTGGCCGCGCAGCAGACTCGAACCACATCCATTCTAGAGCTCTGCCTATGATTTTATCGGCAGTGTCAGAGAATGATGTAGCTACGTAGTTCCCTTTCAAAGGGTGGATCCGAATGGCGGTAGCGGAGTAGGCTGGCTTACGGCGACTGATCGCTCTCTTAGATACTCTTCGTTTCGTGGCGAAACATCCGGTCGCGGCGGTCGCGCGCGCGCGTCGGCAGCGCCGCCTCAGTGAAACTTCGGCCGCAGTCGCGTGTGTTTCGGCGGTACTCGGCACCCGACCGAGGCGGTTAGGGTGCGCGATTAGGTGCGAGTTTGGAGTGCGAAGGAGCATCCCGCGGACGCAGCTGCGTAAGTGCGCGCGCGCGCGTGTGTGTGCCCGCTCGGTGTGTTTTTATGTGTTCGTGCGCGTCGGTCCGTCCGTTCGCCGCGGCGGTGTGCATGCGCGCATGCACGTATGCGTGGTGACCCGCGCTCCTCGTTCACGGGAACAGCGAGCTGCTGCTGCTGCTGCTGCTGTTGTTGCCGTTGCTGCTGCTATGCGTCCTCGCGACGGCTGGTGGCTCGCCGCGACTATGTCGCGAAAATAATCGCGCCGGTCCCGCGAGTGTTTCTCTCTCTCTCTTCCTCTCTGCACTGACACGGAGAGGTGGTGGCCGTCGGACACGCTGCTCGAACCCGCTGTTTGTCTCTCCGTCGCGCTCCCTCATTCCCTTCGTCATTCATTCTCCTCTCTGTCTGTCCCTCTCTTTCTCTCTCTCTCTCGCGCCTTCTTTCCTTCACACACCCGCTCCGTCTCTCTTTCTCTCTCTCTCTCGCTCCCTGTCACTACTCTTCGTGCCGGGACAACCGTTCGTCATACCGTACGTCACGGAAAAGCGGCGTACGATACGGTAGGATAGGAGAAGCGAAAAAAAAAAAACGTGGATCGGGGTGTCCTCCGCCGGGATTCACGGTGAGGGACAAGTGAAGTGAACGGTGTCAGCCGCGGAGTGTAAGAGTGCGGCGCGATCGCCGGCGACGACGGCGACGGCGACGACGACGAGGAGGACGAGCAAGGGGGAGTCGCGGTGGCGAGAGAAGCGATCCGCCGAGGGGACAGGGCTGCCGCTCTCGCTTGCAGCTGGGCGCTGGGGCGGAGGGTGGGGTGGACGGCGGGAGACGGAACAACTGACGGAAAACGAGAACAGGCGGAAAGATGCCGGGCCTGATCGCCGTGAGCGAGTTCGTCGAGGAGACGAGGGAGGACTACAACTCGCCCACCACGTCCACCTTCGTCTCGCGGATGCCACAGTGCAGGCAGACCATCACGTCCCTCGAGGAGGTGAGTTTATACGACGTTAGCAGCAACACCCGTCATGACGGCCGTTCCCGTGGACATTGATTGAAATTGTGAACCTAAGCTCTCCGACCCGGTCCTCCCCCCCATTCTCCCCGCTCCCGTTTTCGGCAAGTGACGGGGAGAGTCAAGTAAACTACGATCAGCGCCCAATTAATAGCCATGGGGAACCGCCGATGCGGTCCGAGCGATTTATCTCGACATTTTCGTCCATTTTTGCTCCAATTTCTTCGTGCGTTTTCGTTCCCAATTTTTCATTCATCTTTGCGCCAATTTTTTTGCATCAGTTTTTTTTTGTTTATTCTTGCTCGGATTTTTTCGTTTATTTTCGCTACTACTCCAATTTTGTTTTTTTCGAATATTTTTGCCGCAATTTGTATATTTGTGCTCCATTTCTAGCCACGCTTCTCTAATCGCATCCTGCTTTCGTGGTTTCCTCGGCTCTCCTTCTTCCTCTCCGTTCCGCCACCCCCCCATCGTATCGTATCGTCCTTGCCCGCTCTCTTTTCCCGTGATAGCAACCATACCGGATCGTGATTGTACGCGTGTTCTTCGGGCGTATAGAAGCGTGTATCGCGTATATACTTATCGGTCGCGCGATACGAGCCGGAAACGTCTGTCGACATTCTCGGCCGCGATCCTGCATGCAGGACGTTCGATGATTCGTACAAGTATAGGCACCAAGAATGATACTGACATTTTCCGAGCGTTACGATTTCCGCGCAAGCCGAGGATAACAATTTGTTCTAAGACTTTGGACTCCCAATGCGTCGAGTGCACCTAGCGTGATTAGTATCGTTGTATCTTGCGAACTTTTGTTATCGCTTTACGGAAGCTTATCAAACGAAAGGCGTTCCGTTTCTGACGCCAATAATCGTGCACGCACATCGATGTGAGAATTATTCTTTCTCAGCTTTCATTCGCATTTGGTTGAATCACGCTCCATTTCGATACGCGTCAACATGCGAGAATTTTAAGATTCTCGAGGAGGGGCGGGGGAGGGGAGGGGAAGGGGAGGGGGAGGGAGGAAGGCGACTCGCCGCCTTATCGTCGCCGATTGATCGTTAACACTTCAAATGCGGAGATGATGCTAATGCCGAGGCATTTAAAGCCGCGGCGTAGCCGGCGATGACGCTATTATTATCGTCGCACGTGCTTCGAAATCCGATTTCCTCGCCAGGAAACTGGCCCGCATTATCGGTTTATATTCCTCGCCGTTCAATGGCTCGTGTTTCTCGCCAGCATTGGTAGCGCGACCGCGTTCGTTCTGACGCAGTCTCGGTAATATTAAGGAAGATAAAGAGGCGTGACTTGAAAGAGCGCAGAACAGGACAGCCTCTCCCCCCCCCCTCCCTCCCCCGTCGACGTCGGATATGTAAAATTCTGGATATTCTCGAATATCGGGATTTATCGCGGATTTTTCTGCGGAGACACATCAACGTTTCCGACCATCATTTCGCTATAGCTTGCCGGGCGCGATCATCGCTTCGCGTCGACGCTCCTAATTTGCGGACACTGTGAATGACTATGATACGTATCTCCGCGTCAAGTGGAATCCGAGCAACAGTGGTCCGCGCGTGAAATGTGTACCCTGTGCAAAGACACGGCTGACACGCGTAACAGGAATAATGTAAATACTACAGAGAACTAACAATACTAACAAAGCCAATGTCTTATTTCTTCCCACAGTAGGAAACAATGGATACTTTTTAATTGGGTTTTTTATCGAATCTTTTAAAAATAAATTTGTGCGGGCGATGAAGATAGAAAGTGAGATAAATGCTCAGATAAGGACTTTTTTAATTTAAAATTAATTTAAAATTAATTGCCGTTATATTCAAATATTCACGTGTTAATCACGTGTTAAAGCAGTTAAGTTAGTAATATATATTCTCATTTGAATATGGATGCTTGTTTAAAGTGATTATATAATTACGAATTGTTCCGCACATTACGTAATGCGGTGATATTAATATTTAGCATCAGTAAAAATACTTGGAAAGAACTTATCTGTCGATAAGTCTGCAATTGGAAGATTGAGTATATCACTGATTCCGTGTTTATTCTTGTTACATCGGACATATCGTTTTAATCCTTTCATTCATGGAATACCCATATCATTCTATGTGCTAATAATAGAGAATACTCGCGCAATAATAGAGAATATAAGATTATCTATATAGTCAGCAGTAATAAAGAGTATAAGATTAGCTAATATAGTCAATATAACATAGAGAATATAAGATTAGCTATATATAATCAATATCATATTTTGCTACTCAAAGAAGAAACATTTTTTAAGTAGAAATTTATTCAAAGATTAATTTTTATCATGGTATCAGTTTTTTGTTTTGCAAGTAATTGAAATGACAAACTAGTATTTTTAATCAGGCACGTCTGTACGCTTATGTGCATCTTAATTCTTAAATTATATTGAAGATTAAGGCTAACAAAGTTTTTTTATGAGATTCTTAAGAAAAAAACAGGAGTATTTCATATAATTGCCAAGTACACAAAAAAGCGTTTGCAGACTTTATACATAACTCATTCAAAATCACCAATGAAAAAGAAAAATTGCTTTCCATTGTCTACTGTCCCGTGCTACTACCCATCATTCTAAAAATTCCACATTGTTTTGAGATATATATTCAGAACTATAAATTCCCTTGAAAAAACTCAGCAAATGTAATTCATCTGCATACAGCTACCAAATGTGATGAATAAGCGTGCGCTAACCAGAAATAGTGATCGAATCGATAGAGTGAAGGGCGATTTGTACAACTCTGGCAGAATCGTAGGTAATAATTTCATGAAGGTTAATTTTCGGTAGTATTTTCGTGACCGTTCTTATGTGATTGAGCAAGTTAGAATTGATATGTATATATTCCACTTTGATATTACTTCCAAAATTACGAGGACTAGTTCACGTATTGCCTCTGGAGAAACCATCCATTTACTTGATATAAATGTTTTTGCGCAGCCGCGCAGAAGCGTGCTCGTAGAGCATAAAATTCGACCTGGGGTTTTTCAAGGGGAGAAAGAGACGAGTGAAAAAAGAGAGACGAAAAAATAGAAGAAAAAAAAACAAATTCCCGGTATACACGGAGGATAATAAGAAATAACGAATGTTGAGAGAGGCAGCGAACTTTAAAAAGTTGAATCCAGAGGCTAGATTCTGTAACTCTTAACGATAGACGATAACAATTCGTTATTGTCGTTTTGTCGCAACTTTTTCACCGTGCATTATAATAATACCTGCGTAACGGCAATAAAACGATAACGATCTGTCATTAAGAGTTACAGAATCTAAATCTAGCTGCTGGGGCTCTAAAGTAATCTAATCCGACGTAACGCAACTCCCCAATTATTTTCTCGAGCACCGTTTCGACAGTATCTGTTCTCTTTTGACATCTTATTTTAAATTTAAATTTATTAGCCAAGAGAGAGAGAGAGAGAGAGAGTGAGAAAGGGCGAGAGATAGTGTCGTAAATCACATGTAATATTGTTATATGATCCCGACATGAAAAATTTTTCACCGACCCGCGACGCTTGCCTCAGTTCGCCTTGAAGAAGTATGTCCAATATCTACATCGGCGTGTCGGAATTTCCGGGTCACTCGTTCTCTCCTCCTTCGGGAGGAGGCAAGGCGGAGGCGAGCAAGAGGAGAAAGGTGCACGCTGACGTTCCCGTCTCCTTTAACGATTCGGAGAATTTTCGCGAGAGGAGAAAATTCCGTCAGGAGCATGCTCGCGTAGTGCCGGCTCTTTTCTTCGTCTTCCCGCCGTCTTTCTCTTCTCTTCCCGTCGAGAATTCCTTCTTCGTCGCGGTTGACGATTATAACGCGGTATGGAGAACATTTCGCCGTTACGGACATGCTGACAGACGGTGACGAGTATAATCGTCGTGGCGAAGTTTATTTTGCGACGCGGCGACATCTGCACACTTTTAATACGTGCCAATTCGTATGCCGGATCTTCTCTTGCTATATGTCTTGCGATGCAAGTACAAGTACTCACGTAAGCTACGTTCAACGCTAAACACTTGATTCATAATTATCAAAGTAATTCTCACGACTCTCTCAAAGTAATCCTCGACTCTATCGATACTCAGTTTTCAAATTTCAACAATTAACGCGCAATACTTATTTTCTTAAATTCTTTAAATTTTTCTTATTCCAAATATTATCATTATACGAATTAATGCAATTAACAATAGAAATAAAAAAATTATAAATAATACATAATCTTCCATAGTTTCAAATTGATCTACACGAAAAGAATGATTTTTCTTTGCTGGAAGGTCAAAAAATTTGGATCTAAAAATAATTTTGTTGGAAATGATATCTATAAAATGATAAGCATTGTTGTAAAATGTTTTTATACTCTAGCAATTAGTCTAACTTTCTAACAAAATTAATTTTGATAGTCGAACAAAAATTATCTTCAGATCTGTATCCAGCAAAATTATTCTTTCCGTGTATAGCAATAAGAATAAGATCATTTATATCATATAATTTTTATGTGACTTATATGAGCAATAATATCTTATTACACTCAGTGGCATAAATCATAAATTCGAAAATCCCGTTAAGATAATCCGTGCATTTTATCTCACAATCAGTTTCTCTTCTGCTCTCTTTCATTCTTTCTTTCTCTCTCTCTCTCTCTCTCTCTTTCACACTTTCTCTTTCCTTCTTTTTCTCTCCCTTTTACCGGCAATAAAAATAGATCGCGATGGGTTCCAAAATAGTAGCGACGCTCGAATTTCGTATAGACTGGTGTCGTAAGTCCTAAGTTCTAAAGTGGGAAAGTGGGTGACTCGAAGACAGTCAGGGTCAAGAGTACGGGAGTGACGTTGTTGTTCAGACTGGCTCTCTAAAGTACGTTGTAATTTATGAAAGTAAAAGCTCGATACACAAAGAACCTTTCGTTGCTTTCACTCGCCGAGTACAAAAAATATGCGCCGCTGTTTATTATCTCGTTAGC